ACTGTATAGCGCCTCTATCCCAAAATCTCGGAACTAATCTATAGCTCTTTTTTACCTTATTCTTTCTATATTGCACACATGCTTTACATAAATCTGGAAAAGGGTGGCGTTTTGAAAATAAGTCTCTAAGCTCTATTTTTTTGGTTTTCCATTATTGTTTCATACGCTCTTCTACGGCACATGGTCTTGTTTTGCAGATTGAAGCAGTATAATTTTGATATAAAAGATATAATTCTTTGAGGTGACATTGTTGGTAAATTTTCAAAAATTTTTTTTATTTTTTGGTTTAAATTTGACCAACTGCCGAAAGATTAGCATATGTACTTTATTTACACCAAAGAATTTGTAATTCTATTAAAGCAATAAAAAACGCCACCCTTTTTAGAAAATTAAAGTTTCGGTCGGTAACAATATGACTTCAGCATCCTCTTAAGAGAGTGAGTCTCGTTTGCGCACATAAGCGAATGGACACCGGAATTTTTCCCAATCGGACACAGTGGCAATTGGACACAAGTTAGAACGGACACAGTTGCAATCTGACACAGATGGAATCGGACACAGTTGCAATCAGACACAGATGCAATCGGACACAGTTGCAATCAGACACAGGCGCAATCGGACACAGGCTGACCTGACCGTTCTGACCTGGAACTGATTGACAGAACTAAAATAATAGTATAAATGGTTATATTGGTATAATGGTATGCTATAAAGGCTCGTCTACATGGTCATCATATGGACAGAGTAAGTATTTTCTAAAGAGTAAGAATAATTCTAATTAAAAAACTAAACGATTAAAACATTTATATATTTTGTAGGTTATAGCGGTAATGTTAATTTTATGCGAAGCACGTAAACAACAATTTTGAAGCACGAAAAACGACAATTTTATTCGTTATATGTTTCTGGGACCGAAAACTTGGACTGATTTTTAGCATCATGGACACAGGCCATTAAGTCGCATGTGAAAGCAGCCTTAGGGTGCTGTCCCATGACAAACAGAACTTGGGAAATTGGAATCTCGGAACACGCATGTAGTTATTACATAATATTTGTTTGTGTAATTATTATAATATTTGATTGTTGTAATATTTTTCTACTGTAGATTTTTCGTGTGTTAGCTGTTTCAGAAGCGAGTCTCTTCCTGTGCTGTGGATTATTATATTATCTTTGACTAAGTATGGAGGAGATTAAAGGAAAGTCCAACAATAGCATTATTTATGCTTATGAAGGTTATACTTATAATGTCGATAAACGTCAACGAACACATACATATAGATGCTCTACTCGTCGTATAACTGGATGCCGTGGATTAGCAAAAGTTGGTGAAGATGGCAAAATTATCGTTAATCCTTTCCATAACCATGCACCTGATAATGCAAGAATACAAAAACATGGATTAAAACAAGAGATGTTACGGTTATCACGTGAAACATTGCAGACTCCTAAAAGTATATTTGACGATGTTTCTCGACGGTAATTATAAGTAAAAATTTTTGCTTAACAGTCCATCATGTAGTATAATAATCCTGATAGCTAAATGTTAATAATTATTGGCAAATTGACAGCAAATTTGATCAAATACTCATGTTTGATCAAATTTACCGTTAATCTGCCAATAATTGCTAACATTTGGCTATCAGAAAATTGATAAACTTATGTTTATGAAAAGGTGATTGATATATGATACATTTTATAGAAATCCTGAATCAGCAGCACTTATAACTTTTAAGTCGATTAAAAGCCAACTGCACAGAGAACGAATAAAGAGCAGATCAAAATTGCCACAATCCATAGCTATGTTAGCTGATCAGTTAAAATATTACACATCAATAAACCACATTTATAAGGGATGTGTAACTGCAAGTGATGGGAAAAAAGCATTACTCTTCTCCAGTGATAAATTGCTCCAGGCACTTGAGTCATCCTCTGAAATTTTTTGTGATAGTACATTTAATGTAAGTTTAATTTCCTATATATTATATTTGTTTTATTATATTGAAACTATAAGTGAATGTAGAATTTAATTAAAGGTTGTTCCTCAAGTTCCTTCCTTTAGTCAACTTTATACAATTCATACCCGTTATATGGACAGAGTAAGTATTTTCTAAAGAGTAAGAATAATTCTAATTAAAAAACTAAACGATTAATGCCCGATTCCACCAATGTAGATTAACTTTAATCTCAGTTCAACTTACTCTTCATCTTTTTCTAATTCTTAGAACTAGAAAAAGATGAAGAGTAAGTTAAACTGAGATTAAAGTTAATCTACGTTGGTGGAATTGGGCAGAAAACATTTATATATTTTGTAGGTTATAGCGGTAGCGTTAATTTTATGCGAAGCATGTACCACAGCACTGTATGAAATAATTTGGTCAAAACTAATAGATCTTGTTCCCAATCTATTAGTGAATATAAAATTCATCATGACAGATTACGAATGGGCAGCAATGAGTGCAATGGAAAAATACTTTCCAAATGCTACTATATATGGATGTTGGTTTCATTTGAACCAGGTATCTTAAGTCTTAATAATTTTTTTAGTTAGTACTTATTAATTGCATTGTTGAAACCATTACTAATACATTTTCTATTGTGCAGGCTTTACAAAAAAAATGGAATCATTTAGGTTTACATCATTTTTCGAGCATCATACTATCAATGGCAATGACAATACCATTGCTACCAGAACAATATTTAACACAAGCTTATCATATATTGTGCAATAACTGTGAAGACACAAATTCTAACTATGACAAATTAAAAGAATTCTTAACTTATTTTGAAAGGACATGGTTATCCAAAGCTTCAAAAGTAAACCTCTACAAGTATCCGGTTAGAACAAACAATGAAGTTGAAAGCTTCCATAATGTACTACATAGAAAATTGGGTCAACATCGAAATGTATGGATGTATCTAGGTAAATAACAATAAATAATATTAAATTATATGAAGTAATTTAAAAATATTAATATTTTGTAAAATTGTACAAATTGAAAGAATTTTTATAAATATTGATTGATAAATATTGATTGATAAATATTGAAATTTTTATAAATATTGACATAAATCGTGAAAAACCAGCTAAAAAAAATTAATTTAGAAATTATTTAATTATTTTTGTTAATAAAAAAAATATTAAGCATTGGGCCTGTTCGTTTTAGTTGCACTGGGGCAGCTCTGGGTTTGCTCTAAACAAGATAATACAGGACAAACTATTTATCTGTCCTGTATTATCCTGTGTAGAGCAGACCCAGAGCAGCCCCAGTGTAGCTAAAACGAACAAGCCCATTATAAGTGTTAATAAGTATGAATGTCAAGATATAAATATCTAATTAAACTAATTTTATTTATTATATAATTTTAGAAAAATTGCAAAATATTATAGCAGATCGAACAATTGATTTGGAACGTTTAAAAAATAATATAGAAGTACGATCTGTACGATCACGCAAAAACATGGAAAGAGATAAAAAAATTCTTCAAGCACAAACAGATCTGATTTCTGAAAGGTACACACAATTGCATTTCTTTTTTTGTATGCACATATATTATTTTAGATTAATATTAATATTGTACAATATATATTTTATAGATTACCACTTGAACAATTTCTTTGTATATTTAATGATAAATTGGATGACTTTTTCTTACTAAAGAGAATCTTATTGTCCAAAGTAAGTAGAAATAAAAAATATTGTGATAATTATATATACACATATTCAAATCTAATCAAAAAA